AATGTATAGATAGAAGGGAAAGAATACAGATTTCATGTGGTACTTGTCTTCCCACAGAACAACAGAAGGATATAATAGTAGCTAGGTGCCTCTCATAGAAGAATCATTACTTTTTAGATTATGACTGATAAAAAAATAGCAAACTCGCAACTCGTAAGATCAACACCGATAGTAATTCAAGACACACGATGCACACCGTGAGGAATATACTAAAAAGTAAAGCTTAATAGTGAAAGAAAGGCAGGTAGAAAAGTTTTTGTTATTTTTAATATACAAGAAAGAATTGCTCGCTTCTCAGGTTATAGAAAAAAGTACATGACATTTTTCAATGTGTATTTTATGCGTAAAAATATATAAATATATGCACTTTACAAAAGGGGTTCTGAGCTACATATTTCCAATAGGAATGCGTATCATCCCGCTAGGTTTTTGTTCATTCTCAGATTCTTCTAAGGATTGGACAGTGTTTTCAACACATCCAAGCACGTAGAGGTAGTCTTGATAAACGTGAATAGTGGTGCCGCCCAGCTGCCGCGGTACGGCACCTACCCGCAGTGAGATTTCCACCCATTTTGCGCAGTATTTATGTGGAAGCATCCACTCGCCTCCGCCATTTGAAGAGGGAACCCGCTTTTGAAGATAAACAATAAAAAAACGAACTTTACAGCAGGGTGTGGTGAGCTGCGCCATGACCGCAATCCGTTCTGCAGGTTCCAAGGAAGGGGGGCCATAGACTCTGCCAGGGGGTAACAACGCCACGGCAACGTCTGGCAAAGGCGGCAGCGCGCCCTGCACGGAATCCCATCTCACCTGCTTCCATCGTGAGGAAGGGCCGACCGGATCAAGTATTTCAGGGCAGCGCCGGCACTCCCCATACTCGAGAAGGTCCTCAGCAGGCAATGTGAGCAACGGGACGACGTCGTTGTTCGCGATGCCCCTCCCGCCTACCAGCACCACCGTCCCGTCGCTCAGAGCCAGAGAGCGGTGGAAGCTGCGGGGGGCTGGCAGAAAACATAAAAAATGAGTCCGCAACGAGCAGGGCATATGGCTAAGATTATGTGGATTGGTTGGCCCTTCCGCCGGGTCCCCAAAACGGCACTCCAAAATGTAGCACTCCGAGCGGCAGTTGGATTCCAAGTCTAGACCACCCGTAATGAGCACGTAGTGGGGAGCAGCCCCTCCCTCTCGATTATTTCCATTCCCCATATCCAACAGCAGAGCGTCGTGGAAAGCAAGGACGGGGAGTTCGTACGGCGGCAGGTCCACCCGCTCCCAGGACGGCGCCGCGGTCCCTTCCCGAAGGGGAAGCCCCGCCAGCCAGGCCTCCGTGTGGGGTAACCCCGCCCCGCAGGCGTTGACGCCCCCCAACAGCAAAAGCCGCAGCCCCCCTCCTTGTAAAGGCGAGGGGGTCAGAGCAGTTAAGGTCGCGCCGAACTGCGCGGCGGGCATCGACTTCACATGCGGGCGCTCCTCAAACGGGGCCAAGTGAAGCCGAAAGACAGGGTAGGTAGCGGAAAAGGAGAGGTAGTACAGGCCGTCGGAGACAGCGGCGTCGGGGGTGTCGGGGAGAATGCTGTGGGAGGCCAGCCGGAAGGTGTTCCGGCACCACTGCCGACTGCCCCCAAAAAGGTACAGAGCGGTGCCCACCCCGCCTGGCTCCGGCGCCACTACCGCGCAGTGGTGATGCACCCGGAGGTCGCTGGAATTTCGCATCCGCTCGGCGTACGTGATCAGGGCGGTCGAGGAGTCGAGGGAGAAGTACAGCGAAGACGACCAATTCGGGTGCAACGGTATCCACTGCCAGGAGAAGCGGGAGCGGAGGATGGCGTGGATGGTTTGGTACCACTCCGTGCACACATCCGGGGTGCTAAACCGCACCCAAAACGCCTTCTCCGAACTTAGAGTAAATAACGCAAAGCAATTGGCGTCAGAGGACTTTTCGACAGAATTCTGCTCAAGGCGATCGAACGCAATGACGGTGGCACGCATTCGCACCGCGCCGTTTGCTTCCATGCTGTAGGAAAGAAAATAGCGATCGGTGAGGGAAAGATAACGCGTCTTCCACTTACCGGTCCATTCCATCTGCTTGCGAACGGTTGCCTGAAGCAGAACCTTCCCCCAGTTTGTGTCTACTCTCTGATCTATTTTCGGGTGAACTTCCGTATTCATATACGCTGTGGAAAGCAGACTTGATTCATTATCCTCATTCGAGTGGTTATCAGTATCATTAGGGCAAATATTCCTCACTTTGTCGATGTCATTTCTCATGGAAGCCTTGTTCTCCCTAAAGCTCTCTTCGTCAACAATTGGTGCTGCATTGGGAAGTACAGTAAGAAGGTTGGTATTCGACCCAAGCGGCTTCACAAAGGGTAGCACTGTGAAAGCCAGCTTAAGTGACCCCAAGAGGCACTTCAGCCATTCTTCGTAAATATTGGGTTCAGGCGCGCGGAGTGTCCAGCACGGTCCTTCAATCAGCCAGACGGAAAATACCAATCCATCCTTTTCAATATCACCACAATCCAGTGAAGCGACGGTACCCCACTTCTTTTCGCCTGCATCCTTTTCCAGACGATATGCCAAACGATTGCCATCTAGTGTAAAGAAACGTTTATCCCATGCGAAGCGCCACTCGGCCTTCTTCATGAGATAAGACTCAATAAAAAAACGGTCATGGCGAAAAGATGACATTGCCAAAATAACTGATTTTCAGCTTTTAAAAGTGTATCAATATATTTTTTGTAGTAAAGGCACCTCTAGGGAAAAAAACGTATCGACCTTAATAATTATAACAAATAGGTAGGTTTTACAATACTGTATATGTGATTAAAATATGTCATCCATGATAAGAGGCAACATCAAAGTAAGCTTGCATTAACACATTCAGCAACCAAACAAAAACTCAGAGTAGTTAAGAGAAGGATAACAGGTCGATAAGTATAATATAAAATAAATTTAGTAAGGTCTTAAAGGTGCTTAATGAAACATAGCAAGAAAAAAATATTGGATGTCTTGAAGGCACTTTTCCGAAACCTTTACAAGTTAGCATGAGCGCTGTGATTGCTGTTTTCCATCCAAATTAATACTGATGGCGGAAAAAGATCGCTATTCGGAATTACAGCGTCTCTCTTTGTTCGTAGTTGCCTTAAGCGCAAGTCCCTTCATCGCAATGCCCTATTTGTTGTGTCACGTTCGTGTCACCTAGCCCCTGTTCGTTTAAAGAACCTGTGGGGGGATTTTCCTCCACTAAACCCAGAAGCTCATGCAGCTGGCGTAGGGTTTCATTCGCGCCTCGGCGCTGTTCCGCCGCGATTTTCTCCACCGCCGCCACCTCATCGCCACCGCTCAACGCGTACGCGAGCAGGAGCTGATCCACCTCCGCCGGCTCCCACGGGGCCTTGCGATCGAAGGCCTCGCGCCTTTCCCACTCATGGCCGTCGAGGGAGCCGCAAAACACACACGTGCCGTTGTTTCGCGTCGAGCCAACGCCCTTGCAGGATGCTCGTACAACCGGCACCCCCTCCAAGAGACTGAGCTCCGAGTATGGCGTGAAAGGGGACTCCAGCGAGGACGCGGAAGATTGGGAACGAAGGGATGAGGAGGTGGGGGAACTACACTGTGGTTGGCGTTCGCGCCGAGCTTGGACAAAGTGAGAAAAGCTCGGCAAGGTTGAGGTAAGTAGTTGCCATTTATTTTCCTTCGACATGGTGGTGATGATTTTCTGATAGCCATCGTGGCATTCGTCGAACAAGGTAGATGATTGAGCACCACTAGTAGGTTCTTCACGGTCCATAGCCATGGTATGATAAGAGCTAGGCAGCGCATTCTTGCGATCACGCTTTAGATTCCACACAACGCATGGAGTATGGATGGAATACGATGGACTTGTAGATGAAATAGTGAACTGGGGCTGCGTGGTCGGGCCCTGCTCATGCATCACCATCACCATGCGAAAAGGGAGCGTGCCCTTTATTTTTCGCAGAATTGCTTCATTAAAGACGGGTACGAGATCTAATTCATGCTGCGGATCCTCTGCAATAATGGTTCGTAGGAAAGTAATAGGGCGCCGCGAGGCTGTAGCGGTAAAATCCTGATCTTTTTCTAGGTCTTCCGCCGAGGAAGGCGAGAAGAGTTTTTCCCAGGCTCGAATTTGATTCTGAAAGGCTGCCACAACGTCGTCATTGTTTAGGTCGGTGTGCGTAAAGCAGGTGTGCTTACCTCGAAATAGTAACCAACTGGAGATTGGGTCTGGAATAAAAGGGCGTTCTTTCAGTGCACCCGGGAAATACTCGTCGTCAAATCCCTCCTCAATGAATTTAATAAGGCCGTCAAAAGTGCAGCGAATCATATCAAAGGGAAAATTCTCTTCAGGCTTTTGCAAACCAAGTTTGGTAAGCATCAGAGATGGACCATGCCATCCGCCTAGAGAAATCCAGCGATGCATGAAGGTACTAACTTGATGATAAATTCACCAATACTTAATGGGAAAACTTACGGATTCGAACGTTTATAAACCCCATTCCATCGTCCTTTCTTTTTTACTCCACGATGTTTGTGACTACTACTGGCCCACCTTCTTTTTCTGAACTTTCCAACTATTTAACAAAGCGCTCCTCTAATATTATCTCAAAATAACGAAATCCTAAAAATAATAAACTAAAAAAAAAATAATAATAATGAAAGGGAAAAAAAAACGTGATTCCAGAAAGAGTCTTACCCCTACTCGTTTCCTTGTATAAACAAATGATAGGTTGGATTCAAGCAAACATTAGAAGAATAAAAACAGCACCAGTGAGCATAAAGCAAATTAATTTGCTGCCTTTAAACCTATTGCAGAATTATGATACCCCTTTTATTATTCATTTAGCTACTTATCTCTGATCACTCTAGACAGAATCAAAATAATAAATTTAATAAACCTTGTAAAATTCGAAACCATCAGCACGAAATGTACAAGACGCAAGCAAAAGCTCACAAATATATATATTGATATGTATATATAAACACATATGTTTAAGTTCCTAGTATGAATCAAAAAGCAATAATAAAATACCCAAAATACATATAGAAACATTAATCCTTCTGCGAATTTTCAGCAGAACCTTTAAATATAATATTAGATTTTGTTCATCACACCCGCTGTCCTATAAACACCTTGATTGGCTCAACCTTTTTGTTTAAAAGAGAAATGAGTTTTGTACAATTGCTCAAGAAGCTGGTAAAGATGTTCCCGCAATCGATTATGCGCCTTCACTAAACTAAGCCGTTCGGTAGAATTACTTCTCGTAAGATCTCGGACTACCGAAAGCTCGGGGTACGCGCAGAGCATTTCGTCACTAGGAGAAAGAGCCTCTCGAACATTACGAAGCACATCAAGGCGCTCCGCTGTTGTCTTAGGGAGGATGTACATCTCTGCGAACAATATCCCTAAGGAGAAAGCATCAGAGGCAGCCGTGCAGGCCCCACCACGAAGCTGCTCGGGACTGGAATAAAGCGGCGACCCCACACCTGTAGTATTCACAGCCATAGTATCGAAATAGTGCGTATCCATAGTGCGAAACCTGGTATGATCAACAAGCTTTGCAAGGCCAAAGTCGCTCAGTCGAACCTGCACTAGTGTCCGCTGCAACCATTTAAATGTTTTACGCACCTCAGCTTCCATAATGGAGGATTGTTCAATACTAACGGAAGCATCCACGCTAACGGTGGAGGAGATGGTGGACTGAGGAGCCGAAAGATACCGCCGGTTCTGCATTATAAGCTCATCGGCATTACTATGTGGGGTATTCAAGAGTGAAGAAATCGCTTCATCATCGTAACTAGGCTCAATAATATCGGTCTGGATAGCCAGAATGCGAGATGTCTCGTGGTAGGAATCCTGAAAGGGTGCTTTAAATGGAAATATCGTGTGCATGTTTGGATGTTCTCCCGTTGGTGAAGGTATAGCGCCTTGCCAGAGTCCATTGGGGTACAAAAGATAGTTTAGGCCAGCTTTCTGCCTTGCAGGGACAAGAGCCCCTGTAGTATGATTGGCAGCATCAACCTCTTCTCGCCAAACAGTATTCCGCCTTCCTAGATTGCACGCATCAGCACCTGATGAGACTTCTTCCGTGTCTTCAGCATCGGATTCGGCATCCAAGCTACTACTACTACTGCCATCGATGTTTGCATGCTGACAGCGAAAGTCCAAAAGGACGTTTGACGGCTTAATATCACGATGCAGGATGCCACGTCGGTGTAAATACCGCAGACCTGAAATCAGCTTCAGCGCGATGACCAGATTTCCCAACCGATCCACGCTCTGTCGTTGTGAAAGGTAATTCGCGAGTGTGGTTTGGCAGAATTCCATCTGCAAGAAGACCACTCGGGACCCAATTATTGTGCGCCCTCCCCCCGCGTCTCCATAGAATTCGCTCCCGCGTTTGGGCGGCCTCGGGCTATCCGAAGATGGGGTGTCCGTTTCCGATAAGGATGTCACGACCACCGAGGAGTCCGTTGAGAGGCTCAGGTCCTCCCCTGTAGAATCACTCACGTCGGTGCTGAAAGAAGAGCTGGAGGAGTC